GTGTTAGAATTATTAATCTTACTTTTTCGGTCATATTTAATAATATATGTCTACAGGAAAGGCTGCTACCAAAATATACTATATATATATATATATATATATATATATATATATATATATATATATATATATATATATATATATATATATATATATATATATATATATATATATATATATATATATATATATATACATATATATACATACATATATATATATATATATATATATATATATATATATATATATATATATATATATATATATATATATTTATATATATGTCGTACCTAGTAGCCAGGACTCACTTCTTAGCCTACTATGCAAGGCCCGATTTGCCTAATAAACCAAGTTTTCCTGAATTAATAGATTTTCTCTAATTTTTTTCTTATGAACTGATAAAGCTACCCATTTCATTATGTATGAGGTCATTTTTTTTTATTTGAGTTAAAATTAACGTAGATATATGACCGAATCTAACCAACCCTACCTAACCTAACCTAACCTATCTTTATAGGTTAGGTTAGGTTAGGTAGCCGAAAAAGTTAGGTTAGGTTAGGTAGGTTAGGTAGTCGAAAAACAATTAATTCATGAAAACTAGACTTATTAGGCAAATCGGGCCTTACATAGTAGGCTGAGAAGTGCGTTCTGGCTACTAGGTACAACATATATATATATATATATATATATATATATATATATATATATATATATATATATATATATATATATATATATATATATATATATATATATATATATATATATATATATATATATATATATATATATATTATTAAATATGACCGAAAAAGTAAGATTAATAATTCTAACACGAATTTTTTCAATCTTTCGTACATTACGCTTCACTGTTGGAGGTAAATTAAAAATCAATTCTCCAAAATTCATTTTTATTTCTAGTCTGACGCGACACGGGCGCGTTTCGTAAAATGCGCCCGTGTCGCGTCAGATTAGAAATAAAAATGAATTTTGGAGAATTGATTTTTAATTTACCTCCAACAGTGAAGCGTAATGTACGAAAGATTGAAAAATTCGTGTTAGAATTATTAATCTTACTTTTTCGGTCATATTTAATAATATATGTCTACAGGAAAGACTGCTACCAAAATATACTAATATATATATATATATATATATATATATATATATATATATATATATATATATATATATATATATATATATATATATATATATATATGTCGTACCTAGTAGCCAGAACGCACTTCTCGGCCTACTATGCAAGGCCCGATTTGCCTAATAGGCCAAGTTTTCCTGAATTAATATATTTTCATTAATTTTTTTCTTATGAAATGATAAAGCTACCCATTTCATTATGTATGAGGTCAAATTTTTTTTATGGGAGTTAAAATTAACGTGACGTGATATATGACCGAACCTAACCAACCCTACCTAACCTAACCTAACCTTCTTTATAGGTTAGGTTGGGGTAGGTAGCCGAAAAAGTTAGGTTAGGTTACGTTAGGTAGGTTAGGTAGTCGAAAAACAATTAATTCATGAAAACTTGGCTTATTAGGCAAATTGGGCCTTGCATAGTAGGCTGAGAAGTGCGTTCTGGCTACTAGGTACGACATATATATATATATATATATATATATATATATATATATATATATATATATATATATATGTCGTACCTAATAGTACGATATATATATATATATATATATATTTATAATATATATATATATATATTTATATATATATATATATATATATATATATATATATATATATATATATATATATATATATATATATATATATATATATATATATGTCGTACCTAGTAGCCAGAACGCACTTTTCAGCCTACTATACAAGGCCCAATTTGCCTAATAAGCCAAGTTTTCCGGAATTAATATATTTTCTCTAATTTTTTTCTTACGAAATGATAAAGCTACCCATTTCATTATGTATGAGGTCAATTTTTTTTTTTTGGAGTTAAAATTAACGTAGATTTATGACCAAACCTAACCAACCCTACCTAACCTAACCTAACCTAACCTATCTTTATAGGTTAGGTTTGGTTAGGTAGCCGAAAAAGTTAGGTTAGGTTAGGTTAGGTGGGTTAGGTAGTCGAAAAACAATTAATTCATGAAAACTTGGCTTATTAGGCAAATCGGGCCTTGCATAGTAGGCTGAGAAGTACGTTCTGGCTACTAGGTACGACATATATATATATATATATATATATATATATATATATATACAATATATATATATATATATATATATATTACTATTCAAGGCCCGATTTGCCTAATAAGCCAAGTTTTCCTGAATTAATATATTTACTATAATTTTTTTCTTATGAAATGATAAAGCAACCCTTTTCTCTATGTATGAGGTCAATTTTTTTTTATTGGAGTTAAAATTAACGTAGATATATGACCGAACCTAACCAACCCTACCTAACCTAACCTAACCTATATGTATAGGTAAGGTTAGGTTAGGTAGCCAAAAAAAGCTAGGTTAGGTTAGGTTAGGTAGGTTAGGTAGACGAAAAAACATTAATTCATGAAAACTTGGCTTATTAGGCAAATCGGGCCTTGAATAGTAGGCTGAGAAGTGCGTTCTGGCTATTAGGTACGACATATATATATATATATATATATATATATATATATATATATATATATATATATGATCCCCTTGCTCTAAATGCCACAGTAAATACTGAGCTAAATAAAGTCCATCTGTAGCTAACTGCCAACAAACTCACCCTTAACATTGACAAAACTTTCTATATTCTGTTTGGCAATAAATCCTCTAATCAAATAAATCTCAAAATAAACAATACCCAAATTTGTAACAAATTAGATGGCAAATTCCTTGGCATTCTCATTGACCACAAGCTGAATTTCCAGGGACACATTCTAAACATATCAAAAAAAGTTTCAAAAACTGTGGGCATTCTTTCTAAGATCAGATATTATGTACCACGCCCTGTCCTGGTGACTCTCTATTACTCCCTTATCTATCCATATCTCAACTATGGTATTTGTGCTTGGGGCTCTACTACCCAAAATCACTTACGTCCTCTAATTACTCAACACAAAGCTGCTATTAGGACAATATCCAATTCTGGCCCCAGACATCACTCGGTACCCCTATTCAAATCCCTGAATATGTTAGACATTAAGTCACTGCACATCCTCTCATGTGTACTATACATATACAAAACGCTAAATTGTAATGCCAATCCTGATCTCAAAAGCTTCATAGAAGGTTGTAACAGAACCCATGAGCACCACACCAGAAATAAATACAGTTTTGATATTCCTAGAGTACGACTTAATCAAACCAGAAATGCTCTACAAATCAAGGGGCCCAGGATGTGGAATGACCTTCCCAACCATGTTAAAGACTGTACCTCTCCCAACCAGTTTAAGTTAAAAACGAAGCTATACCTAATAAATTCCCTGTAACCTACCTTACCTCTCTATTGTCAACCCATGTATGTTTTTTGTTTGTTTTTTGTTTTACAAATCAACGCTGTTTTAATGTAATTTTCTGTAATAATTTGTAATTGTATTTGTGCAGTTTTTTCAACAATGTTCCCCCCCTCTTTTACCTCTATTTTTATTTGTACTCAACGCATTTTTTTCTTTTTACCCATTAGTTTTAAGCTTTAGTCAGTAGTGTTTTTTCCTGCCCGAAACGCTTTGCGTAATAGTGGCTTTAGGCATTGTATGTACTAGCTCTACCTATAAGTCAACCAATCCTTGTAAAAATTTATTGTATGTATGTACCTTACCTAAATAAAATTGTATTGTATTGTATTGTATATATATATATATATATATATATATATATATATATATATATATATATATATATATATATATATATATATATATATATATATATATATATATATATATATATATATATGTCGTACCTAGTAGCCAGAACGTACTTCTCAGCCTACTATGCAAGGCCCGATTTGCCTAATTAGCCAAGTTTTCCTGAATTAATATATTTTCTCTAATTTTTTTCTTATGAAATGATAAAGCTGCCCATTTCATTATGTATAAGGTCAATTTTTTTTATTGGTCTTAAAATTAACGTAGATATATGACCGAACCTAACCAACCCTACCTAACCTAACCTAACCTATCTTTATAGGTTAGGTTAGGTTAGGTAGCCAAAAAAGCTAGGTTAGGTTAGGTTAGGTAGGTTAGGTAGTCGAAAAACAATTATTTCATGAAAACTTGGCTTATTAGGCAAATCGGGCCTTGCATAGTAGGCTGAGAAGTACGTTCTGGCTACTAGGTACGACATATATATATATATATATATATATATATATATATATATATATATATATATATATATATATATATATATATATATATATATATATATATATATGACAATGTCAGACCACGGAGGAAAAATGAAACAGGAATTTCCTTAAGTACTTTCGTATATTAAATACATCTTCAGAAGGTCCTTCTGAAGATGTATTTAATATACGAAAGTACTTAAGGAAATTCCTGTTTCATTTTTCCTCCGTGGTCTGACATTGTCACATTCTTAATCACGTGTTTATTTTCGTGATATACACACACATATATATATATATATATATATATATATATATATATATATATATATATATATATATATATATCGCAAATCGTGAATTTGCTTACGTGGCAACATCCCATTTTCTCTGGTATATACGATCCCACGATCGTCGTCGCCCCTAAATCAACACAACATATTTCCAAATTCGTTCTCTGTGAAAGGTTTATAAATTAGTAATGTTAATATATTCCTGACATAACCGTTTTCACATGGTATGCCAGGGGTTAGTAAATTAAGTGACGAAATTTCCGACAATACAGTAAACCAAACATTCCACAGTTGTTAATACAAACTAGACATAGATTCGACCAAACAGCACACAGTCGACACAAATTTTGCAAAAATTTTACCAGACGTACCGCAGTTTGCAACGGCCTTGGGGAGAGAGAGAAAACCAGCTCCTGCCATTTGGGCCACCAGGAAGAAAGCCGTTGTTCCGAACCCTAGACCTATCTTGGAGATTCCTCCTTCTACTGTCTCCTGGATGGACATCTCTCTGTAAGAAGAACAATACGATGAGTGAAGAACATTGATTTTGTCAGACATGACAATGTAGATGAACTCCATGATGGGATTAGACTTTATTTGTAGATTATGTTTCGAAAAATAATACCTCTATAATTCTAAAATAGTTAACTTTGATGTAACCTATTTATTCACTAACGTTCCGGTTTATGACAAACTAAAAATTTTATTTACTGAACGGTGTGTTATTAACTCGAATTTTATTTTTAATAATGAACTCTGTTGTAAACCATTTGGAATGGCTATGGTAACGCTCTTTCTCCGGTTGTATGTGATTAATATATAAAATTCTATGAAAGAAAACTGTTTAATAGAATTTTGCCTCCTAATTTTATAGGGTTTCATAATGTTCATTATGTGTTTTGCTTATGGCCTAAGAATTTAAATCTGGACATAATGTTATTAGAATTAAATAATCTATACCCATCCTTTAAGATTACAATAGAAACTAAACAAGACAAATATTTGCCATTCTGAGATGTGTTAATTTATAAATGTGAAAATAATTTCATGTTATCTGAAAAAAGAAAACCAACAAATGTTGAGTCTTATGCACATATCTCATGATATGTAGTCGTGATGAAAGTAGTAGTATATATGGTCTAGGTTTCAACTAAAAAACACCCCCTTAGTATATTATAAATTAAGTAAGCAAAATTGCTCGTAATACTCTCTTCAGTCAGGAAAAGAAGAAAGAATTAAATATTAAGAATACAATATTTCTGCCATTTCATAAAAACTTAAGTGAAATTCCTTGGCTAATTAAATAATTAATTACCAGTGTAGTATTTAGGAATCTTGATATCATAAACACTCGTGAATTTTTTATTTTCATATATATATATATATATATATATATATATATATATATATATATATATATATATATATATATATATGCATGTCTCATTGAATATGACAGCATATTCCGTATTTACTATTTTCTGATTTAGTGCTTCTATCCCTCTTACATCAGGGTTCAACTGGAAGAGGAGTTTACCAAAAGTCATGTTGATTTTAGGTGAAAAAAAAATTGAATAACTAAAGAATATATTACACTAATTACAAAATTGCACAACGTTTCGAACCTCCATGGTTCATTCTCAAGTGAAAAGAAATTACAGAACTCGTTAATTTATACTAGTACGGGGTCAGGTGATAAGACAAGTACAATAAAGGTAAAGACAAGGGGGATAAATAAGGGATGAAAGACTCTTTAAGTGTGGCTCGGGTATGTCTAATTTGGGGGTGCTCTCGTCTCTGTATACTCTGTCCAATATCATTCCTATGGTGGTGTCGACTGGGACGTTGGTAAATAGGGATTCGACGTCCAGGAAAGCAATGATTCCATCGGGCTGAGTAGTTTTGATTAATTCTAGGAAATCTGCTGATGATTGTAAACTATAGTTACTTGGAGTGTACGGAGTTAGGAGATAGTTAAGTCTTTTTGCCAGGTGATAGGTTGGAGTTGGTATTTGGCTGATTACCAGGGTATATAAAGGGACAGGGCTGGGAAATGAGACATAAGTGGAAAAGGGGACAGGGGTGGGAAGAGGGACAGGGAAATGGGGTGGGAAAGAGAACAGGGGTGGGATCGAGGACAGGGGTGGGAAAGGAGACAGGGATGGGAAAGGTGACAGGGGAGGGACAGGGGACAGGGGTGGGAAAGTGGGAAAGGGGAATGGGGTTGGAAAGGGGACAGGGGTGGATAACGGGGCACGGGGTGAGGAAGGGGACAGGGGTGGGAAAATGGACAGGGAAGGGACAGGGAAAAGGTGTTTGAAAAGGGACAGGGGTGCGAAAGGGGACAGAAGTGGGAATGGGAACACGGGTAGGAAAGAGGACAGAGGTGGGGAGGGGGAAAGGGGAGGGACAGGGGACAGGGGGTGGGAAAAGGGACAGGGATGTGAAATAGGGCAGGGGTATCAAAGGGGACAGGAAGGTAGGAAAGGAGACAGAGGTGGGAAAAGGGACAAGGGTCGGAAAGGGGACAGGGGTGGGAAAGTGGACCGGGTTAGGAAAGTGGACAGAGGTGAGAAAATGGACAGGGGTAGGAAATGGGACAGAGGAACGAAAAGGGACAGAGGACGGAAAGGGGACAAGGATGGGAAAGAGAACAGGGGTGGTACAGGAAATAGGGGGTGGGAAAGGGGACAGGGATGGGAAAGGGGACAGGGGTGGTAAAGAGGACAGGGGGATGGGAAAGGGGACAGAGGTGGGAAAGCGGACAGAGGTCGGAGAAGGGATATGGGTGGGAGAGGAGACAGAGGTTGGAAAGGAGATAGATGTGGGAAAGAGGACAGGGGTGGGAAAGGGGACAGGGGTGGGACAGAGGACCGGAGGTGAAACAGGGGACAGGGGGTAGGAAAGGGGACAGGGGTGGGACAGGGGACAGGAGGTGGGAAAGGAGACATTGGTGGGAAAGAAGACAGAGGTGGGAAAGGGCACAGGGTGGGAAAGGAGACATAGGTGGGTAAAAGAACAGGGGTGGGACAGGGAAAAGGGACAAGGGTGGATAGGGGACAGGAGTGGGAAGGGGACAGGGGGGAAAGACGACAGGGGTGGGAAAGGGGACAGTGGGCGCGACAGGGAACAGGGGTGGGAAAGGAGACAGGGCTGGGAAAGGGGACATTGGTGGTACAGAGAATAGGGGGTGGGAAAGGGGACAGGGGTGGGGAAGGGGACAGGGGGTGGGAAAGGGGGACAGGGGTGGGAAAAGGAACAGGGGGTGGGAAATGGGACAGGGGTGAGAAAGAGGACAGGGGTGGGAAAAGGGACAGGGGTGGGAAATGGGAAAGTGGTGGGGAAGATAACAGGGGTGGGAAAGGGGACAGTGGGTGGGACAGGGAACATTGGTGGGAAAGAGAACAGGGGAGGGAAAGGGGACAGGGGTGGGAATGGAGACAGCGCTGGGATAGGGGACAGGCGTGGGAAGGGGACATTTGTGAGAGAGAGGACAGGGAGGAAAGGGGACGGGTGAGGGAAAGGGGACAGTGGGTGGGAAAGGGGACAAGACCTGAGAAACGGGACAGGAGTAGGAAAGGGGAAAGGGGTGGGAAAGGGGACAAGACGCGAGAAACAGGACAGGAGTAAGAAAGGGGATAGAGGGGGGGGAAGATAACAGGGTGTGGGAAAAGGGACAGGGGGTGGGAAATGGGAAAGTGGTGGGAAAGGGGACAGGGATGGGAAAAGGGACAGGAGTGGGAAAAGGGACAGGGGTGAGACAGGGAACAAGGGTGTAGGAAAGGGGACAGGAGTGCGAAAGGGGACAGGGGGTGAGAAAGGGAACATAGGGGTGGGAAAGGGGACATAGGGGTGGGAAAAGGGACAGGGGGTGGGAAAGGGGACAGGGAGGTGGGAAAGGGGACAGGGAGTGGGAAAGAGGACAGGGGGGTGGGAAAGGGGACAGTGGTTGGAAAGGGGACAGGGGTTGGAAAGGGGACAGGGGGGTGGGAAATGAGACAGGGTGTTGGGAAAGGGAACAGGGGAGTGGGAAAGGGGACAGGGGGGTGGTGAAGGGGACAGACAGAGGGGTGGTAAAGGGGACAGGAGTGGGAAAGAAGACAGGAGTGTGTAAGGGGACAGGGGAGTGGGAAAGGGGACAGGGGGTAGGAAAGGGGACAGGAGTGGGAAAGAGGACAGGAGTGGGAAAGGGGACAGGGATGGAAAAGGGGACTGGGGTGGGAAAGAGGACAGGGGTAGTGGATGGGACAGGGGGTGGGAAAGGGGACAGGGGATGGGAAAGGGGACAGGAGTGGGAAAGGGGACAGGAGTGGGAAAGGGGACAGCAGTGGGAAAGGGGACAGGGGTGGAAAATGGGACAGGGGTGGGAAAGGGGACAGGGGTTGGAAAAGGGATAGGAGTGGGAAAGGTAACTGGGGGGTGCGAAAGGGACTAGACTTGGAAAGGGGACAGGGGGTGGGGAAAAGGGACAGGAGTGGGAAACGGGACATGGGGTGGGAAAGAGGACAGAGGATGGGAAAGGGAACAGAGGGTGGAAAATGGGTCAGGGGTGGGAAAGGGGACAAGGGGGTGGGACAGGGGACAAGGAGTGGGAAAGGGACAGGGGGTGGGAAAGGAGACAGGGTGTGGGAAAGGAGCCAGGTGGTGGGAAAGAGGACAGGTGGTTAGGAAAAGGGACAGGGGGTGGGAAAGGGGACAGGGGGTGGGAAACGGGACAGTGGGTGGGAACGGGGACAGCTAGAGGTCCAAAAGGGGACAGGAGTGGGAAAGGGGACAGGGGGTGGGAAAAGGAATAGGAGTGGGAAAGGGGACAGGTGGGTGGGAAAGGGGCCAGGGGGTGGGAAAAGGGATAGGAGTGGGAAAGGGGACATGAAGTGGAAAAGGGGACAGGAGTGGGAAATGGGACAGGGGGTGGGAAAGGGGACAGGGGGTGGGAAAGGGGGACAAGAGTGGGAAAGGGGACAGAGGGGTGGGAAGGGGACAGGGGGGGGGGCTGGGAAATGGAACAGGGGTGGGAAAGGGGAACAGGGGGGAAAGGGGACAAGGGTGCGAAAGTGGACCTGGGTGGGAAAGGGGACAGGGGGTGGGAAAGGGGACAGGGGTGGGAAAGGAGACAGGGTGTGGGAAAGGAGCCAGGTGGTGGGAAAAGGGACAGGGGGGGTAGGAAAAGGGACAGGGGCTGGGAAAGGGGACAGGAGAGGGAAAGAGGACATGGCGTGGGAAATGGGACAGGGGGGTGGGAACGGGTAGAGTGGGTGGGGAAAGGGGACAGAGAGTAGGAAAGGGGAAAGGGGGGTGGAAAATGGGACTAAGGGGTGGGAAAGGGGACAGGGGGGTGGGAAACGGGACAGTGGGTGGGAACGGGGACAGCTAGAGGCCCAAAAGGGGACAGGAGTGGGAAAGGGGACAGGGGTGGGAAAAGGAATAGGAGTGGGAAAGGGGACAGGTGGGTGGGAAAGGGGCCAGGGGGTGGGAAAAGGGATAGGCGTGGGAAAGGGGACATGGGGT